AGAGCGATAGTCTGTGAATTTTAAGGGGTTATCCGAGCCAAAATCCGTGCCTATACCGAGGGTTTTTAGTAGTGATATTTCGACAATGTTTGCAATTTTGAGATTTTTTTAATGTTTATATAGTGTTTGATATTGTAACATTTTTTCTTTACAATGCTTACAGTATTTGTGACATTTACATAACTTTTAATAATGTCATCTTTATAGTATTAACATTGCTAAGATATTTAGAAAGACATCAATATGGACATTGTCATGACATTGTCAATATCATTATTTAATGTCATTTTTATAGCATTGACTTCATCATTATTTGATATTATAACCTTTTTCTTATTCTGATACTTTTAATCATTTAAAAAACGTTCATAATACTTTGACATTGATATACGATACATTGCTTTAAGAATGTCATTTTTATAACATGACATTGTTGCGATATCCAATATTTTGACAGTGTTTACAATATTACGCAATGACAAGTCAGAACCATAATTTAACAATGTTTACAATAGTAAGCAAAATAAAACCACCTTTATTATTTCCAACGACTTTGACGTATATAATCAAATTTATCGATTCTTACTTCTCCCCATTGCACTTTGTTGTGTGGATGTATTAGTGTTAATTATATTTTATTATTTATTAATATTATTAGTGAAAGAATTTTTTAGATATATCAAATGTGTGGATCTATTAGTGTGGACAATGTTTTGAGAAAAGAATAAATATTTACTTCGTGTTACAATGCTACTCACCGTGCAAAAATTAATTCTATTGGCATTGTATGTGATTTTTAAAATAGAAATTGTCCCATGTAGGACTAAAAAACATTTAAAATTCTTAATTAGGACTAAGTATGTTTATTTCCCTAAGTAGGACTTTATTAATCCTATACTAAAACTAACGTATTTTACCAGTACAGATTTGCCCTTCGTTGAAAATACCCCATTCGCGTAACATACCCCATCCGCGTAACGGTTTTTCCCCATTTCGTTCGCTTCCTGATTTTCAGACTTTCAGTTATGATGTTTTCCCCTTGTTTTACGCTCCCCTGTATTATCTCCTTCCGTTTTCACCGTGTGTTTCTGTATCAACGAATCGCTTATGCCATATCTCATCTTTGCTCTGTCTATCATAAGCTACGACCAAACGCATATGTTGAGGTGAAGTGTTCCAATTGTTCTGGTAATTATCTAACTGCTAATATTATCAGTTTCTTCATTATTCATCTTCTGTATTATCGGATGTTGTAGAAGAAGGTAGCGATAATTGAAGGATATTTTAATGTATTTGTTGTTATTTGTCATTGTTATACATTCCGAAACCTAAAATCATGTTCCATGTCTGTGTTGAAATCTGGAAAATATGTCATTCAGTATACATATATGCGTTTATCCTTCATGGTTGTACTCATGGTCATCGTTTGACTTGCGCCTGGGATTCTGTGTTTGGTGTTTTCAGTTGGAATTTTAATGACATAATCTTGGCATAATGTGTACTCATAGTCATCATTTGACTTGCGGATGGGATTTTGTGTTTGGTGTTTTCATTTCGAATTTAATGACATAATTTTGGCATAATTTGTACTCATGGTCATCATTTGAGTTTTGGCTGGGATTCTGTGTTTGGTGTTTTCAGTTTGAATTTAATGACATAATCTTGGCATAATGTGTACTCATAGTTGTCATATTGTTTTTCATTTTATTTGAACAATTTATATTTATTTATCTAGTTATCCATATGGATTCCATTGTTATGATTATGCTGAAGTTGGGTGGAAGTTGGACCAATGACTATAACTTCAACAGTAACCTCACCTTTGCTATTCAAGTTCTTTACTCATCTACATACAAAGACTTTATAGAGCAACTTTCTTCCATATTAAGTGATTCTTACAATGCAACAAGTGAGTTGAAGTTATCTTACATGGTTGATGGTTGCCCTCCACCTGTGTATATCAATGATGAAGCCAGTTTCCGTGTTTTCCTCAACCTTAAGGTTCTTCAGACTGATTTCAGCAAGTACCACTTGTGTGTGGAATTCTCAATTCATGGTTATACTCCTTGCCCGGTGCCTGCTACGGAAAATACTGTACATATTTGTGCTTCACCATCTCATGTTTCTTCTGAGGAACATGATAACATTAGTGGACAAAAATCTGATTCCAACTCTTACACTATTGTTCAACATGAATCCAATCTCACACAAAAATCTCCTAGTCCCATTACAATCAATGATGATGTATGTCATAGTCCATTGTCTTCTGTCAGCCCTTGTCAGTCACCTCCTACTCATTTACATTCTACTGAGTCATTTTCCTTCCATCATAATGTTGAAGTTATCACCCACTATCATCCAACACAGATCATGAAGTATGCCATATATAATTCTAAGTTTGACCTCAGTCACCATTTGAAGTTGTATGCGATTGATAATGGCTTTCAATACCGAACACTTACATCAAAGAAAGGGGTATTGCATGTTGTATGTTGTGATGACAACTGTAAATGGGCTGTGAGGGGTGTCAAGTTACGTGGTGTTCAAATGTTTCAGATTAGAAGGTATGTTCCCATGTTATCTTTTTTTACCTGTATTCTTTTGTATTAATATTCCACATATGTGGCATTTCTTCCATCATGACATATATTTTTTCATTGCAGGTTCGACTCCACACATACCTGCTCCATTGACTTTAGACTAGGAAAACAGAGACAAACAACATATCGCACCGTTGTTGAGCTAATCTCCCATAAACTTTTGGATGCATCAAGGAAACCGTATGCACCAAATCTAATCCGGGAAGACATGAGTGTGGCCCATGGCATTTCCATGTCATATAAGAAAGCATGGAAAGCTCAAAAGCTAGCCATGCAAAGGCAATTTGGATCTGATTTTGAGTCTTATCAGAAACTACCTTCCATGGCTTATATGCCAGAAAAGAGAAACCCGAATTCTGCAATTTCTTTAATAATAGGTGATGAGGATGAGTTTCGTTACTTTTTTATGTGTCTTTCACCTTGGCGGCAGGCATGGGATTTTTGCAGACCTGTTTTAATTGTTGATGGATCATTTATGAAGGCATACTATAAGGGGACACTACTAACAGCTTGTGGCCAAGACGCTAACGGTCATATTGTACCTTTAGCTTTTGGAATATGTGATTCCGAATCCAAAGCTTCGTGGAATTGGTTTTTGAGCCAAGTGCGTGACAGTATAACCTTCCGACCTGATATGTTTATTGTATCTGACAGACATGAAGGTATTCTAAGTGCTGTTAAGGATATTTTCCCTCATGCTCTTCATGGATATTGTGTGGAGCACCTTCGGCGTAACATGGTTCCAAAGTTTAGGGGTGCGGGTAAGAATTTGGGTTGGAAATTCAAGGCTGCCTACATGGCATCGACACTCAAGCAATTTGAGGAATATATGTCCTTGTTGGATTCTGAGGATATTCGTATACGACCTTGGCTTGAGAAGATTGGTTTTGAAAAGTAGGCCAAATGCATGTCTGGTCCTAGGAGATACGATATCATGACTTCCAACTGTGCTGAATCTATGAACAACGTCCATGTGTCTGCAAGAGAGTATTCTATATCAAAACTTGTGGATTTCTTGAGGGAAAGAATGCAGCAATGGTTTTCAGAAAGGAAGGAAAATGCTGAGAAAACACGTACATTTTTTGCTCCCACACGTGAGAAGCATTTGGTGGCCCTTCAAGGACAAGCTTGCAGGATGCAGGTAACTCAATGTGTGCTAAATTCGTATACATTTATTCGCAAGAAATATGCATTTGATTTTAATTTTTTGTTCAGTTATTGTATTGTATACTTGGCAGCAATTCCAAAAATATGGCATTTGGTTACGACCGAAATCCCTCTTCCATGTTTCCCAGACCTTATCCCCCAAATCATTTCTGTGAATATCCATCATTTAACTTTATTATTTTTTATCATATTTAAAAACAACATCAGGTGAAGCCAGCATCTTATACAGAATTTGAGGTGGTTGATAGACATTGTCGGTCATTTGTAGTTGATCTGAATTCTAAGACATGCAGTTGCGGGGTCTTTTAATTGTCTCATTTCGTTTGTGTGCATGCTGTTGCTGCTATTGGTACCAGGCCAGCCATGTCATGCTATGATTATATATCCAAATATTACACTCGAGATTACTGGTTGTCCACCTGGAGTGGCGTTATGCACCTTATTTGTGATGTGGAGTCTTGGTCAGTTCCTCCTGATGTTTTGAATGTTCGTTGCAAGCCGTCTTCGTGTCAAAAAAGACCACCCGGTCATCCCAAAAAGTCAAGAATCCCATCAATTGGTGAACATCGTCGTACGAAGCGTCAAAAATGTTCCCGCTGTCATGCTATTGGTCACAACAAAAAAACCTGCCGCAATCCACTGCCCATATCAAATGCCTGATGTATTTTTTAAGTTTTCTTCTTTAAGAATTTTTAATTATGGTGTCATTGTTTTGAAATGTCCATGTTGATTACATAAATTTATGCACAATTTAGAGTCAGTAGTTTCCTGAATTCATGTATTTGGATTACATGATGTTTTAATTTCCTTTATACAATCACGTGTTTTGCACTATTGTTGATGGATATCATATTTTTAATTCCACCAATGTTCATGTCATTTTGCCATCTTTATTAGTACCATACAACCCACAAATTGTACCTTTTTTTAATTAAATTTCTACAAATCAATGTTGACAGTTATCATGCTTCATCCATATATGCCATAGTTTTGGCATTACACGTCAAATAAATACAATTGATATGTGTAACAAATGTAATGTTCACAATTTCTTTACTGCCAATTATAAATTATACATTGTACAATGTTGATCTCAACATATCAATGAGCCATTCCATATTGTAGTCTAACATTCTGCCATTTAAAAATATAAGCGTAAACAGTGCAAAATTGCCATAAAAAGGCATTTTAAATTACATTTAATGGCAGAAAGACTACGTTTGCATACGTCTGTTATAGAAACTTTTCCACTTTGATTTAATAGCAAACAACTACACATAAAATTTAAATCCAAAACATTACTCAAAGCGTCAAGGACATACTACACCATTATGCAAAACGCTCAGTCAACATTGTAAGTCAAACATCAAACATTAAACGTAAATATTCAAAAAACAACATTTCATTCAAGTTTCAAATGCAACTCCTCGGTCCCTGCTTCTGTTTTTTGTGTTCCTCCATCCTCTTGTTGTTATACAACACTAACTCTGTGGCCATCTTTTGCCTATACATGGGCATGTCCTTTGACTTGATCTCTTTTATATCTAGCCCCATCATCAAAAATTCGGCAATCTTCAATACGTACATGCCACAGTTTCCCCTACAATCATGACGCACCAATACGAAATAAATCATTTTGTATTACATATTAATATTATGTTTCTGAAAAATACTATACACGACATATTTTACCTGTCTTCTTGTTGTGGGCAATCCTCGGCAGGCTCCAACTCTAACACTTCGTTACCCATACGCTCATACCCAATTTCATCATAAACACCATGCACGTCCATGATTTTTTGCAGCAACCAATGTATGCTCTCTACAAACGGTCTAATGTCTCTTAAACTATCAGCCCGTCTGGTTTTGGAGTTGTAAACTCGTATCTTTCTTTTTTAACTTCCAAAACAAGTAACACCCAGTGGTTGCTATTGTTAAGCGGGAGGTATACGAACTCAGATTCTGCCCAACTCCTAGAGAATGGTGAAGCACTGCCTTGAATTTCGTCTTCAATCACTGCAATGTTCGCTGCTTCTGTAATCATCGTCTCACCTTTTTCTATCTTCTCATTTTGACGTCTCAGCATTTGTAGAAAGTAAGGCCCACTAGCGCTGTAGGGGTGCTGCACCCTGTACTGTACTTGCTTGACATTCAAGTAGTACATCCCTGCATAAATGTGCTAAGAACAAATGCAAAATCAAAGAACTAATCACAGAATATTTCTGAATTTTTTTATATAAAAACATACATTGTCATGATTTATGATCCACATTTTACTTAAGCTTTTATATTTCTAAAAGTGATCAGTCAGAAACATTACCATCTCGTCCAGTCACTCTGGATTGACAAACAACTTGTACAACCATGTTTTTTATTCTATCTTTGCCATATCCAGAATAAATGGTATGCCTCTCATGATGTCCTCATCTTTGCGGTATCTTCTGCCACCTGCTTCCTTTGTTGCCCTCTTCAATAGTCCAACTTGAAGATAAGTTTCTAACTTCCGTACTTCTTCTTCCGATGGAGATTCAGTTGGGTTTTCTGCAAATGGTCCATACTTTCTAGCCGGTAAAAAGTGGTCCTCCTCACTTTTTCTCGCTCTTTCTTTCCGTCTCCTCTTTGCAGCCACCACATTCTCTGCTGGTGTATATCTGTCTGGTGATCTTGCATTTCGTTTAGGTCTTGTATCGGCGCCACATGTGATCTCAACCTGCACATCAACAAAAAAACAATATAGTTGAACTAATATTCCACTTTTATGCATTTATATTCATAATTATATACAACACCACTTACACTCTTTTCTATGTTCACGTCTGCATGAACACTTGTACTTCCAGTTCCTTGCGCTATCTCCTGGACACGCACACTTGCAACTTTCTGCAATTATAAATTAATATTAACAGATATATATATTAAAATACAAGTCAAAGTGAGTTGTTATGAACCTCTCCCTTTCGACTATGATCCTCTGAAGTTTTTTCGCCTAATACAAGTTTCTCCACTTCATCCACGCTTGTGATTAACTCATTCACAAATTGGGTGTTCAAATCTTCCCAATTTTCCTCCTCATTGTTCACCCCCCTGCCAACATTTTCTTCCACACCCCTCATGCCTTCTTCCTGATTTTTTTTGTTGGTTCCCCCAGCTTTTTCCTTGTCCCCACATTTGCCCTTTTCTACTTCTTTAGTCCTCTCTAACACATTTTCTTCACTTCCATCTTCTACTTGTGCTTCCTGGAATTTTTCTTGTGTTTGTGGACCAAATATGTTATAATTTGGCATGCTACTGATCACTGCACCATCATCTCCATCACCTGCGTTTTGCTCTCCTTCATTATATTGATCTCCTTGAGCTTCTTCATCACCTTCTTCTGTGTTGTTTTTTTCTTTGCTTTCCTTGCTAACCCCCTTCACTCTCTGCCTCATCCTTCCTGTTCATGGCCTCCAACAACTGCTTGAGCAACAACTCCTGCCTCTTCTGGGTTTTCCTTACTTCTTTTAATTCTGCCATAATCTTGGCATTCTCCTTGCTAATTTTCCTAACATTTCTCAGTGTCAAATCAGTCTTTCTGGCAGTTCCAAAACCCACCTTACCACCACTATCATCCTCCTCTTCATCCTCCTCCCCTTCATCCTCAATTTCCATTTTTTCTTCCAACTTTTTGTTTTTGGCCTTTTCCAAAACTGTGGCTGCACTTTTGGTCTTTACCCTCTTCTCTATTTTCTGAAATACCTTCACCCCATCAATCCTATATCCCCCAGCAATTCCAGGATTACTCCTCCTCACAGAACTTCTCATTTGCTTGGACAGTAAAATTGGAAAATGTTCACCTTCCACATTTGTAGGCTCCATCCTTTTCCACTCAAACTGCAAAATAAAAAAATTAACAATTTATATTTAAAATGCAAAGACCATCTTTTCAGATTCCTACATAGTAATTAACAACTAAATGCTATTTATTACCTGTTCATTCTTGAAAATGATTTTGCTCGAAACTTCCAGTGATGGCTTTTTTACAAATTCCCACTTCACAGCCCTTGGTATTCGAGTCTCTCGCCCTTCAATCACACTGCATATATCTGCCTTGGCCAGTCCTGTGAAGGTTTCAAATGCCCAAACTTGTATGGCAATTAAACATCCTGTCAGTGTGACGCGTGTCCCTTTACATTTCTTTAAACTCTTGGCATTGGTCCTCATGTTATCCACCAACTCAGCCCAGACATCATCCCCCCATGGATATTCATTGAAATCATCCAAGTTTTCAACCAAATTCACATACATTGCTGGTAATTCTCTTGCTGTGTGGTTTCCAAACAAACCATGTGACAGCACATGGAGCAATGCAAGCTTCACACCATCGTTTTGGTCATTGTCAGGGTCTCCACTATTGTAATTCATTAAAGCATTTTGACAATCACTTCTTCTCACCCCGGATGTGTTTCCAAAATACTTTTTCCACAATGCCCCCCTAAAATTCTCTTCTACATGTGGTTTAACTCCTCCAAATTTAAGACCCAAAGCCATGCACATATCATTTTTTCTGAAAGTAACTAGGTTGTTTTCAATATGAAAATGAATGGCATTTACCTCTTTCCTCCCATTCACCTTTTTTACGTAGTTGCACAGAAATCCAAGTTGAAGTTGCCCACTAATTGTGTACATCTCTTCCACATCCAATACCCAACCAAATACACTCCTCCTGAATTCAACCAATTCTTCAGCTTTAAGTTGTTGTTTTATCCTCTTCACTACCTCACTCAAACTGCAATAGCAATTAATTCTCATGCTTTCTACATTTTGCAGTTGTTTCTTTCCAAATTTTCTCTGTATCACCTAAATAAACACAAAACCATTCATTTCACACATTTCTTTTACAGTAGTGTAATCAATAATACAACTATCATGTGCAAATGTCCAAGATACATGCCAGATATTCATTGTCATTGCTGTGAAGCTTTCAAATTTGATAAAGTTCACATTCACTTTCTGCCACTTATATTTCAATAGCTTAGCACTAAATTGTCATTTCTTCCAAAAATCTGACTTCCAATTTTTTCTCCATACTACCATTTCTTCCATGTTTTCATTGTACAACTTTCGTTTTAAGCCACTACTTTTGTCATTTCTTCCAAAAAACAACTACCTGACATTTATTCCGTTCTAAATATCTGACTTCTAACTTTTTCTCCATAGTAACCATCAAGGTTTTAAACCTATGGTTCATTGTACAACTTTCATGTTTCATTGTACAACTTTCATTTTAAGGCATATCTGCCATCAACGTTTTAAACCTATTCAGATTCTGCCATTTTCCTCTAGTTCATTTGCCTAAATTTTGGCAAAATCAACTACAACCACCTCTGACAGTGCTTTTAAAAGTCTATACATCCTATCAATTTTTCAAATTGCATTCATCAACGAATTGTCATATATTTGAACAACATAGTTTCTGCCATTTATGCCATTTAAAATATTCATACCACTTATATGTAAAATATGCCATTCTATTGCATGCATTTTATCAGCACAACAATTTTCACAATTTCTATTGAACATTAGGAACAAAATCTTCCAGATTTTCGTTCCAAAGTCATGTACATATGCCATTCTTTTCCATTATTTACTAACACATACAATTGCAACACAATATCGGCCGTAAACACATAAATTGATGTTCATAAGTACAACATACCAGATCTGCTTTCTCCCGCTCTGTCTGCTGTCCTCGCCTCTGTTTCGGAACCTCGTCACCGGCCATCGTCGCGCTTCAACTGCTTCCCTTGTTTTCGTCTTCCACCTTTTTACGCTCAATTCTCGGAATCCATGTTGCACTTTCCGGATGGCAGAACGGGGTTGAGTAAATGGGGCGGTTGCCTTTGAAACTAGATTCCCGAGCCTTGCGCCGGAAAAACACTCCATAATAATTGCCGCGCCGCGTTTCCCTATGTTTTCGCCCTCTCTCCTCGCAGGATTCTGGCCGGTTTTTTCGAAAACTTCCATCGGCTGAAAAGTCAATTAATTTAATATCAAGGCTAAAATTGGAAGATCATCATCTTTTTAATCCTATGAAACTTGACTCACGGAAGAAGTCTTATTTGTGCACATTAAAGTACAATTAGTCCTACTTAGGTAAAAAACTCTTTTTAAAATGAATGGATTGATATGTGGTATTTAAAATCTTTGATTGTACTATTGTAGAAAATCTTTGATTCTACGGAGTATTTAAAATCTTTGATTGTACTATTGTAGAAAATGAATGGATTGATATGTGGTACTCCCTCCGTCCCCCTGTTATTGTCTCATTGCGGTTTACGATGTTTGACCGACGATAAAGCAAACAAATCCCTGTCCGCACTCAAATTATTTTTAGGAAAAAAAAATTACATATTCTGAAACTACGTTAAATGATTTACAAGGTCGCAAAAACCAGAATCAAATTTGATAAAAATTTGATAAATAAAGTAAGAGATTAATAGTGATTTGTGTTGATCGAGTGAATAGGAAATGGGACAATAACAAGGGGACAGAGGGAGTATTTAAAATCTTTGATTGTACTATTTAAAAGTATTTACATACTTTTATACACTATTTTCTACTTTTTCTACACTATTTATTATTCTTACTACTTTACCTTTAAATAAATAGCGTCTCAAACTTGATTTAGCATTCTTTAAAAATAGAAATAGTTTTTATTATTTTATTTATTCTACCCAAATAGAAATAGTTTTTATTATTTTATTTATTCTACCCAAATCTCAATAACATGTATCGAGGGAGATAATATATTCTACTCAAATAGTTTTTATTATTTCATTTATTCTACCTAAATCTCAATAATACAGAGTATATCAAAATTCTTCGAACTGAACTCAAATATTTATATCAAAATTCTTCGAACTGAACTCAAATATTGCACTAGCCGCAGTTGACCTGGCTGCACCGTATCTGTAAGCTTCGATCTTTGATGGTCCGAATACACAGGGCTTAAGCTGTAACCTGCCGATGCTCGTCCCTTTATTTTTTCCTATTCGCTAAACTGCGGCATCTCTGGGGCCATAGAAGTCAGCGAATTGTATCTGAGCCTCTGAGGTTATTTGAATTTGTATTCTTTCCTTAGATTTATCAGCTATTTATTATAGTCGTATGCCTGGAATTTAACCAACAATAAGAGTGAAACCTTCAGCATCAATCAAGATTTTGAGGAATCCTAAAACCCGGTCTTCATGCTGGTTTATATGTGCTTGTAGCTAAACTGTTTGATGTAAAAACAGAGCTGGCCTGCCTGCCATTCTATATGATTTTTTTATAAAGTGGTTTTGACTTTTCAGTTTTCCGGTATATAAACAATTTGCAGGTTTTGGTCTGGCGCTGTGAGGAGAATGGATTTCACTAAGATGAATAGGGGGGAACTGACCATGGTTGGATCTGGGATGTGTACAATGCTTACAATGCATTTGACACTACAGCTCTTGTCCCAACACCTTTTTTACTGGAAGAACCCTAAGGAGCAGAAAGCGATTATAATAATCATACTTATGGCCCCAATTTATGCACTTAACTCATTTGTTGGATTGTTGGATATCAAGGGAAGCAAAGAATTTTTCATGTTCGTTGACTCAATTAAGGAATGCTATGAGGCTCTTGTAAGTTGTCCCCTGTCCCTTACATTGTCAATGTTTCTCTTCTTAATACATCCCAAATTGAACTTCATTTTTGTTCTATTTTTTATCTTAATTTCCAGGCAATTGCCAAGTTTTTGGCATTAATGTATAGCTACTTGAACATATCCATAAGCAAAAATATAGTGCCGGATGAGATCAAAGGGAGGGAGATACACCATTCTTTTCCAATGATTTTATTTCAGGTTTGATTGTGTTTTTTCCCTGTAATATCAATGGGGTAGTTATTAAATTGGTTTGTTTTCTGAGCTTTTTTATTTAAAAGTTACTCCGTTAAATATCCATTGGGAAAAATGTTAAGTTTTACTTTTTCAACAATAAATGTCACTGCTGTAGTTACCCAAAAATCGCTTTTCCTTTCCCATAGATTTTAGATTTTATTATTGTTGCCATAAACAAAAAATGTCACTGATGTCGTTACCCAACAGGTAACTGTATTGATAATTGCTCATTGTTAATAGGCTTAAATACGTTTTTAGTCCATGCAAATATGACACACTTAATTTTAGGTCCGTGCAAAGTAATTTTTTGTTTTTCATCTCTGTAGTATGCACCATCTTGTTTTTAGTCCATGTCTAACTCAAAAACCTCTCCATTTAAAAAAAAAAATATTGGTTGCATAAATCTACTAGAAACTCTTAAATTTATTCTTTTATCAATATTTTGAGGCTTGGATTAAGGCTTGGATGTGGTTGTTATTGTTGATCAATATTTTGAGGCTAATATGACGGTTCTTAACATTTTTGTCCTACATTTGGTTGTTACTTAGTGATACCTAAGAGAATGTTCCTTGTTTTCTTGGTTTTATGTTTTTGGAAAATTGCAGCCTAGAATTACTCATTTCGACCACAATACATTGAGGCTTCTAAAGTACTGGACATGGCAGTTTATTATCATCCGCCCCGTCAGTTCCATCTTGATGATAACGTTACAGATCCTAGGGTTCTACCCAAGTTGGCTGCGTTGGACGTTCACGATAATTCTCAACATTTCCTTTTACGTCGCAATGTATTCGCTGCTTGCTTTCTATCATCTTTTCTCAAAGGAACTTCAACCACAAAAACCTATTTCCAAGTTCCTCTGCATCAAGGGCATAGTTTTCTTCTCCTTTTGGCAGGTCGGTAGTCTGAAGCCTTTCCGTTATTAATGCCAAGGCATAAATCCCACATCAAGCACTTAATTCTACTCCTATGGCTTGACTTTTTAGAATTGAACCTCAGAGCCTTGATACTAACCCCCTCCCTGAATATAATGACTACATGAATTTTGCGCATGCTTTCTCTTTACTAGTTACACTTATTAATATTCCTTTGCCATATTTCTAGGGAATCTTGCTTGACATTCTGGTTGCAATGGGCATAATAAAATCACAGCACTTCTGGCTGGACGTTGAGCATATTCAGGAAGCCATTCAAAATGTCTTAATTTGTGGCGAGATGGTTTTCTTTTCCCTTTTGCAGCAATATGCATTCCATGTTGCCCCCTACAGCGGTGATGTGGAATCAATATTGAAACTAAAAAAGCGTGAATAGTATGTTCCCAACACTAGTATCATTGTATCTCTTCATTATCATATAGAGATGTGTATTGTTATAATTGTGAATTTGCTCAGGTGCCCGATATGGGGTATGCTTTTAGGCTGAGTAATTCCAATGGTTTCCGGGTTTGTTGTGCATTTCATTGGTGTAACCAGTTTATCGTGTATGATATATTTTTAATGTTTGTAGAAAAAGGCAGAATAGTATATGGACGAGACAAGAGAAATTAATGATAATAATAATAATCAACCCGAGATTACACAAAATTTAAGTTTCTTGTGATTGACCGACTGTATGCCTGTAAATTTCTTTTTTCTCTTTGCTTGGTCTAAAATGAAAAAGTTCAAGGATATTTAGGCTACGTTAGTTCAAAATGAGCTGAAATATATTAAATCCAGTCAACTATTTTGAATGTAGTCCCTTTTGGTAGAACTTAGAAGAGCTTTAACTAGGCTAGATCTGAAATACGAGGGCTGAATAGTAATGATGGATTATTAGGATCCAAGCATATATAACTAGGGAGAGATTGAGCTAAAGAGAGGGAAGAAGAAGAATGAACAGTATGTTCTAAATGTTAGGAATTGTGTTCTAGGGTTTACAAGTGACTCCAAGAGGAGTATAAATAGAGAAATAATGGGTTGAGTCGCTAATATGGGCCCGATAGGTCCAACTACATAAAAGACTAATCTAGTACATACAGATGATATATGAACAGTACAATAATACAAAAGACATTCGATAAGCGTGTGTGGGCCGCTGTCCAAGCCCAATAGTAGTGAGACTCGAGGGTCCGAGTCTATATACTCTATCAGGAGTCCCCCACTCCCTGAGTCGAGAGTACTCGAGGCGAAAGGGAGTAGAACTATGTGTTGATCTGTCGTTGTCTGGTGAGTAAACTTCGTGAAAAAAATCCGGACCGGACCGGGACCGGATGGCCGGTTCCGGGCTTTTAGCCCATGTGGGCGGGCCTGGCTGGTCGGGCTCGGTCCTCTTTTAGTTGAACCGACCCTCTTTTAGCCCGGTTCTTTTTTTTTCAATTTTTTTCTTTTCCTTGGGTAGGACTGGGTGTTTTGGAGAGGTTTGAGGGGTGGGGGTGAGGGGGGGGGGGGGGGGGGGGTCGGACGATAATTAGAAAGAAAAACAAAAAAAAAATATTACATAGACCCGGGCCCGGCCCGGTTAGGCCCGGACCCGGTATCAACCCGGGCCGGTTCCGAGCCCAACAATCTTGAAAAAAAGCCCGCTCGGGCCCGGCCCGGGTCCATCCCTAGGAGTAGAGTAGTGCATGTATCGTGATGTCTTCAATAGGGACCGAGGGTCGACATCTTTTGTCCACGTTGGGGAGATGCCCCGTTAAAAACCCCACTAGGAAAAAATCCTGTGGGAAAAAATTCTAATGAGGGAAAAAGAGTACACCAGATGCTCCCAAAATGAAGCAAAAGGGGTGAACCCTTCGGCCTGGGCGTGGAACTGCAACCGTCATCATCTGCTAAGGGGATGGCCAAGATCGGTCCTCGTATGTGCGTAGCTCCGCATGATAAGTAATCCTAGTTATCAAATAAAGATGACTAAGAGATAGGTCGAGTGATCGTCCATAATATGATGTCTGGGTCATCAAATAAAGTGACCGAGACGTGTGACCGAGAGGTCTATAAGAAGTCCAAGCCATCAAATAAAGATGACCATGAGAGACGGCTAAGTGGCCGATATGATGTTATCATATAGTTGCACCTATGCATTCAAATAAAATTGTTATTTCTTGAGCTTATAATTTGCTATTGGATTTGGGTCTAAATTAAGTTGGCTCAAATTTCCAAGCATCAGCTCAAGCTAGTTTCTATGCTTAATTGGAGCGTGACACGCATAAAGGACTGAACCTACCGCTGAGGGATTGCAGTTCATTTCCGATAGCTAGAGGCACACATAACTCATACAACCTCCGTCCCAATTTAATTAGCCAAACTTGATTTTTCAAGTCAACGGCCTCTAACTTTGACCAATTATTTAAGCTAATATATTTATGCAAAATTTAATAATTTTATACTTTTATAATAGTGTTTTTTAACAAAGAACATTTTCATATCCTTTTCAAATTATCAATACTTTCTCTATATAAACATATAATTGGTCAAAGTTAGACGCTGTTGATTTGAAAAGTCATGTTTGGCTAAGTAAATTGGGACGGAGGAAGTACAAAACATAGAAACTAAAGTATGCATTTGATAACATTTGGATTGGGAGCTTACTATCCACACTCGTTTGACGTTACCCGGTGGCGCGAGTGATTGTGTTCGCCCGGTGTACGTGAGTGCTCGGAATTCATAAGTCCGTTTTTTCAATGTCAAAAAATGCACACTATTTAAAAAAATAATGATAGTAAATTAATAATCTAGCTCAACTTGTCACTTAAGTTCGTAGCTGGGATCCGCTAGACGCTATTTATGGGTCTTTTCACGGATGATTCGCCCATTGAGATTGAAGTTTGATGCTATATTATTAAAATGTTTCATTTATGTTTTTTTTGTAAATCATCTTATCAAATTTATTGCTGGAAATTAATAAATGGAAGGAATTTTGGAACACTTAGCTTTGAATTGGGCTGAACTGTGGGCTGATGAAGAAATGGGGCCTTTATTCCATATTGGACATCCCACCAATATTGGAGCCGCCCTAGCCTCTCAAAGAGTTCCAGCTGATGATAGAAGTTTGACTTCTTTGGAGCAGATTCATCCCTAACGCTAGTCTTCGCTCCTAACAGCTCTCATGTATGGCAAGTGGATGCTGCCTACGACAAAGACACAGGAGAGTAGTCATCCGGTTACTGCTGCCTACTTCATCAACAAAGCCCACACTCTCTAGGACATGTTGCAACGGCTATGGAGGACGGTGGCAGTAGGGTCAGTCACAACGCGGCAACAGGTGGCGATCGATCGGCACTGCTGGAAGATGGATAGTGCATCGGAGCGCAAACGGCGTCTGGTCGCGGCGTTGGCCTCGGGTTTGAGGGCCGTTCATCCTTCCCCAAGCTTTGAACCGCCATTAATGGCGGATATTCGTGGTTTTGAGCTTAACAACCGGAGAAATTACTGGGAAGATGGTGACCGGAGCTAGCGACCGAAGCTGGGCGAGCGGCGCTACCATGGGGGGCGGCAGAACTCGTGCTTGGGGTCGCTCGTGCTTGGGGTCGCTCGCTGTGCATCACTCCCAAGTCCTCGTTCCAGTCATGAGCAGATAGTAGATGAAGTTGCCGGAAGCCTGGAGTAATGGATCTACGAGCCCTCAACGTCCTTCTTCCTCACTTTCCGGAAGCTGGGCAGAGGCCGGATTCTGCCAATTCCAGATCTGATTTTTTTGTGTTCTTGAATCTTCCAGAATGATTTTTTCAAGATTTTTTGAATTTGAGATGAATTTTTGATATTTTGGGAGGGAATCTCACTTGATTTTGCTCTAATCTCTCAATGAAAGCACCATTGATGGATTATTAGGATCCAAATATATATAATTAGGGAGAGATTGAGCTAAAGAGAGGAAAGAAGAAGAATGAATAGTATGTTCTAAATGTTAGGAATTGTGTTCTAGGATTTACAAGTGACTCCAAGAGGAGAATAAATAGAGAAATAATGGGTCGGGCCGCTAATATGGGCTCGATAGGTCCAACTACATAAAAGACTAATCTAGTACATACAGATGATATATGAACAGTAAAATAATACAAAAGACATTCGATAAGCGTGTGTGGGTCACTGTCCAGGCCCAATAGTAGTGAGACTCGGAGGTCCGAGTCTATATACTCTATCAAGTAACATTACTCATCCAAACGTTGTAGTTCCATGAATATCCCTCGAACTGTTTTTCAGTTCAATCTTACCCGTTAGCTTTCATCCATTTTGGAAAGAAATTAAAAACAAACCAAACGAAGAAGAAGCAACACCTTCATCTTCTTCCATCTCGTTCTTCTTTTTGTCATTTTGACAGAAAAGAAAGCCGAGTATAATACAATACAATTATTCAATCAATTTCGCCTTTTAAGTTAATTGCAATCAAATCAAGGAGAAGCAACAACTTCATCTTCTTCTTGTTACTCTGTAGCTCATACATCATCCCTCACTTCTTGAGTTCCCAAAAGCCAATGTTCTTCTTCAGGCTCTCGAGGCTTATTACTCCTAATCCTCCCTCGATTCTCGCCGGAATCAATTGCACAGCTTTCTTATTAGCTCTTCTCCGGGTCCGCCATCAATGGCATCATATCTTGTAACTTGTTTCTTCTACCACCATCTCACATTTTGTAAAGATTGTGTTATTAATTGGACAGTTTTAGTACGTAGCAAACAGGGTTTATAAGTTTTTGTACATAGTACGTATATAATATATACATGCATACATAGACATGTTTTTATATTAATTAAAATATCTAATTCATTAAAATAAAAATTTGTTCTACTTCGTATTAATTAATTGTATAACCCTTTAATGTAATTTTATGTTATCCATCTATTACTTCTGCTCTTTTTACCAAACGGGTTTATTTCATTCAACTATGAGTTCAGATTCATCACTTCAAAGTTTAGCTCCAAACAATAGTAACTAATTCAGACAAAAACATCTAATTCAGGCATTAGTCTCCAGTTTCAACACTTTGTGCCAAACATAGACTTAGTCTTCCAAAACAAAGCTTTCAGCTCTCAGCCTCTCATTAAAATATTTAGAGTTTGTTTGGTAATACCCAAATCGGTTGTATTGGCTGATTTTGTTGAAATTTATGAAGTTCTGGTTGAAGTGACTGGATTGTTTGATTGAGCCGATTTATGAAAAAATTATATTAAAAATATATTTTATTAACAAAATTAAGAAACAATCATATGAAAAACGGTCGAAATGATCCTCTACAGTAACTTCAACTAATACAGCTAGAAAAGTAACTCAAATCTTATTTTTTCTTATTATTTAACAATTCAGGGCACGAAATCAAAAGTTACATATTTGGTGAAAAAGTTGACCGATAAACCTGATAAGCCGAAAAACAGGTCACCAAAGCTTTTATTTCAGATTTTATGTGCATTGTTTCAGATGTTATATGCATTATTAACATTGCACAAGAGAGTTTGATGTATTTGTCAAATTAATCACAAGGTGATAATTCACACAATTTGTTCGGTTTCTTTTTTCAAAAAATATTAAAAGAAAACTTAGTTAATACAATGTAGTGTAATGGTAACTTATGTTTAATAATTGAACATGTGTTACATCTTACATGACTTCAT